TTAATGTTTTTATTTTTATTATTTAAAAAATATTTATTACTTTTATTTATAAATGTTTTATTATTTATTTTATTTATTATTTTATTTTTTTAATTCTTATAATTTTATTTTTTATTATTATTAATTAATTAATTTTATTTATATTTTTTATTTAATTATTTGTTCATTTTTCACCTTGATTTACAGAAGATCGCAACAATTGTTTAAATAAAAAATCTTGTTAGGTATGTTAAAAAATGAATAATTTGATTATTTGATGCTTAAAATGTATAATAATAATGATTATAATAAATAAGTATTTATGAGCTGCACTGTGATCCTTAAAAAAAGTCATAAAACACAAACAACCAGTCCCAATGTTGTGTAAAAAATTATGCTTACAAAACAATTTTTACACTTTATTATTAAGATATTATATATTATCTAAGATTCAGCAGCATGCTCTTTAAAAAAACTAATTTTATCTATTTTAATTAACATAACTCCCACATATCTGTTTTATTTGGGGAAAAACTGTTTGGAAGATTTTTTTTGTATTTTTAATGATGTATATTATGCCATATTTTTTATATTTGCCACAAAATTACTTTTAAAAACAGATTCTTTGATGAAAGATAAAAAGAAATATGAACTTGCATTAGGACACTATTTTTTTTTATAAATGAAAACCATTATAATTGAATATCTAATTTACCTTGTTTGCTTATTTAAAGCTTGATAGTAAAATCTAGATGTATTTTTAAAAATACAATATTTATTTTTATTTTATTTTTATGATTTTTAAAAAAATTTTTTTTACATTTGATTATTTATTATTATTTTTTTATAAAAAAGTTTATATATTTTTACATTTATTTATTTTTATTTAAAACAATTTTCATTTATTATTTAAAAATATTCAAATTTCAATTTGTATTTATTTTAATACCTTTTTTAAATATTATTTATTTTTATAAAAAAAAATAAGTAAATAACTAATTTAAATAAAGTATTTTAATATGTCATAAATCATTCTCAGTGTTGGTTAAAAATGATACTTACAAAATAATTTTACACTTTCTTTTTAAGATATTATTTAAGATTCAACAGCATGTTTTTTTTTCACCTGAAACCTGTTTTAATTAACATTCTGCTAGTTTATCTGTTTTATTTGGGGCAAAAAACACTTTGGAAGAAATTTTTTTTTGTATTTTAAATGTGATATATTTTTTATGTTGGCCACAAAATTACTTTTAAAAACAGATTTTTCTATGAAAGAGAAAAAGAAGTATGAACTTGCATAAGGGCACCATTTTTTATTAATGAAGACCTTTGCAAATTAATGTATAATTTAATATGTTTGCTTATTTAAAGCTTGATTGTAAAATCTGTATGTAATATAAATCACCATCCACTTTCATTGTGTGGAAATCAGAATCTTAGGAACATCTGAGGAGGGGAAAAAAAGCAGTATGAGATCTGAATGACATTACACTGAGTAAATGAGCTCAACCTTCTTTGCAAATCTTCAAATTTTAAAGGAACAGAGCAAAGAGTCGGAGGATCATAGACCATCACACTTTGAGTTATTCATGAGTTCTTGAGAATGGATGAGAGAGATATTTGTGGCTGAAAAGATGAACTTCTTGGCCTTCAATACAATGATGAGAGTGAATAATACATGACATCTGCAGGAACAGCTTCTGCGGATCTGATTCAGTGCACAAAACCGCTCAAATCATTTCTGAATATTTGATCTACTTTCACATATGCTGGTTGTCGGACTGAAATACTCTCATTGCTTTTGTATTGGCTTTCTAGAAGATGCATTGTGATGTAACAATAGACAGAATTGAGATTAAACACATTTCCATGCTAATATTAAAGCTTATTATACTATGAGGGCTACTGAAATCTCGATTCTTATTGGCTGATGAGCATTATGTTCTAACAACAAGTGATGCAACAAGATACCAGACAAGCAGTTTGGGAGACATCTGCGGCCGGAAGGTAATGATAATTATTTATATTGTTACAACAATACAATTACTGTACAACAATAGTTACTGTTTTTACATTACTGTGATGGTTATGGTAGGATAGGCATTAATAAAATACATTTGAATGGGTAATTTAATAAGTAATATGAATAATACTCTGCATAATTTATTTTTTACATTCCTGTAAGGGTTGGGTGTAAATAAAATACAATTAATGAGTAATTTAATTAATAATATAACAAATTTTTGTTAATTTTCGGCCGCAGCTGCATTTCTTTAGCAACAACCCAGTTTGTCTGTCTGCACCAAGTGCAATACAACATGACAGAAACATTTAAATAGCAGCCACTGCACTACTAACAAAATGGTTGGAAAGGCTTTTAATGTAATTAATACATATTAAACCTCTTTAACATCATAAGGCTACTGAGTGACTGATGTTGTCACAGTCCTGACTTTAATTTTCAAGGTCTGAGGTGATCTGCCACTGCTTTTAGTAGTATGTCGATGAATGTCACGTAAAATACTTTGGGAGCATTTAACACTGACAAAAGCACATAATCAGTACCTGAGGTTTTCACCACAGTTAGTGTGTAATCCACATTACATGTTTGTAAATGTCAAGCGTGTTAGTCAAAAAGATTTAATTGAATAAAAAGATGTCTTCAGGACCATGGACAGCCTCAACAAGAGACATACAGAGACCCAGATAATCTTTATTTCATAATACAAAATGCCAGAACAGAACATAGTGTACTAATATGAAGAATATTTTGTAGATATATATTTTTAAATAATAATACTGTACATATATTTTGTAAATATTTTAACTGCACTGCGTTGATTGCACTAACGATGATTGATAATATAGATTAGTATCACTGACATATTCAGTCAGTCATTCATTCATTCATTCATTCATTTTCTTTTTGGCTTTGTCCCTTTTAATAATCAGGGGTTGCTACAGCGGAATGAACCGGCAACTTATCCTGCATATGTTTTATGCGGATGCCCTTACAGCTGTAACAGATGACTGGGAAACATCCATACACTCTCATTCACACTTATACACTACGGACAATTTAGCTTACCCAATTCACCTGTACCGCATGTCTTTGGACATTTTTATTTTTTAAAAAAATTTTTTTAATTAATTAATTTATTTATTTATTTATTTTTATTCATTCATTCATTCATTTTCTTGTCAGCTTAGCCCCTTTATTAATCCGGGGTTGCCACAGCGGAATGACCTGCCAACTTATCCAGCACGTTTTTACGCAGCGGATGCCTTTCCAGCCACAACCCATCTCTGGGAAACATCCACACTCACATACACACTCATACACTAACGACAATTTTAGCCGAGGCTCGAACCAGCGACCCAGTGACCTTCTTGCTGTGAGGCGACAGCACTACCTACTGCGCCACTGCTTCACCTATTTATTTTTATGTATTCATTTATTATTTTATATTTATTATTTTTTTTAATTTGTTGTTATTTTTTATCATTTTATGATAATTATTATTTACTTATTAAATTTTTACATTTATTTAAAACTTTTAATTAATTTTTTTTTTGTTATTATTTTTTAAATATCTTGTCTTAATTTATTTATTACTTAATGTTTTTTCAAATATGTTTTATTTGTTTATTTTTATTTATTTGTTTTTTTTATTTAATTCAATTATTTATTTGAAAAATATATTTTGATTTCTTTTTTATTTTTAATATTTACTTGTTTTATTATTTATTTATTTTTACTTTTTATTATTTATCATTATTTTATTTCTTTTATTTTAATTAATTAATTAATTAATTATTTTTTAAATAATTTGTTCTTTGGATGTGGGGGAAACCAGAGCACCCCCCAGTTCAAAGACATGTGCTATAGTTTAATTAGGTAAGCTAAACTGTCTGTTGTGTATGTGTGTAAATGAGTGTATGGGTGTTTCCCAGTACTGGGTTGCGGCTGAAAGGGCATCCGCTGTGTAAAACAAATGCTGGATAAGTTGGTGGTTCATTCCGCTGTGACACGACTCCTGATGAATAAAGAGACTAAGCCGAAAAGAAAATGAATGAATAAATTAATGAATTAAATAATTAATTTAAAAAATGTCTTGAAAATTAAACATTTTTCAGTCAAACTCCACACAGAAACGCCAACTGAGCCGAGGTTCGAATCAGTGACCCAGCGACCTTGCTGTGAGGCGACAGCACTACCTACTGCGCCACTGCTTCACCTATTTATTTTTATTTATTAATTTATTATTTTATGATATTTATTATTTACTTATTAAATTTTTACATTTATTTAAAACTTAAATTAATTAATTATTTTTATTTATGTATTTATTATTTTTTAAATATCTTGTCTAAATTTATTTATTACTTAATGTTTTTTCAAATATGTTTTATTTGTTTATTTTTATTTATTTGTTTTTTTATTTAATTCAATTATTTAATTTAAAAATATATATTTTGATTTCTTTTTTATTTTTAATATTTACTTGTTTATTTATTTTTACTCATTATTATTATTTATCAGTATTTTATTTCTTTTATTTTTATTAATTAATAATTTTATTTTTTATTTTTGAATAATTTGTTCTTTGGACATGGGGGAAACCAGAGCACCCCCAGGGCATATAATTAAATAAATGTCTTGAAAATTGAACATTTTTCAGTCTTATTTTACTGAATGTTTATTTTCAGAAAATAAAAAAAGAGTTTAGCTTTAGTTTACAATATTAATTCTGACCCAAACTCTCGAAAACTCTTGCAACCGCTTAGTTTTCCGTCACCTTTTACCCACATTTTGGATTTGTTCATAAATCTGGCCTGAGAGTCAGTCGATCCACTGTTTGTTGCGCTTTCTAATCTCTCTCTCCTCTCACGGCTTCAGGCTTCTTTGTTTAGGTGAACGTCAAGATTATAAAACGGCCATCTACCAAATAATCTCCCATGATCTGCACTGGAATTTTCTGATGCTGGTTAACTGACTGCTTGCTTTTCTTGTTCAGGGTCAAGAGGCTTCGCCGACCGTCTCACAGGAGAAGAGCCAAAAGAAGAGGAGGAAGTGACTTCACAACTAGGTATGTGACGATATCAGATTGTCAAATAGTCATATGGGTGGTGCGGTGGCTCAGTGGTTAGCAATGTCGCCTCACAGCCAAAAGGTCTCTGGTTTGAGTCCTGGCTGGACTGGGATTTCACCACATGCCTAATCACAGCTCTTCCTCTTTCCTCTGTCAGGATGAGGCTGACGCAGGATTTGAGTCCAGCCGTGGTGCTTGTTTTCAGGCTGGTGGTTTGGCTGTATTCCCTCATCTCCTACCTGCCGTACCTGTTGCTGAGATCACCTGAGTCTCAGTCGCTGTCGGAGTGCTCGCGGAGGCTGAAGGCACGGTCGGTGAGCGGAGACCCTGCAGGACCGTATCGGGATGTGGCGGCGCTGAAGGGGCTGGAGATGTGTCTGCACCCCGGGATCAACACACTGGATCAGGTGTTCCAGTCCTCCGTCTCCCACTTTCCTAACAGTGACTGTCTGGGCACCAGAGAGTTGCTGAGCGAAGAGGACGAGACTCAAGAGGATGGAAAAGTCTTTAAGAAGGTGTGTACGAGCTGTAAGTCCACAGATCTGAAGCTCTGCAGAAGCCTCTCACATGGGTTTTAAGCTCCACAGGGTGCAATATAATGTTGTCACAATGTTGAATTTCGGTACCTATTCGTTTTTCGATAAAGTTCAAGCGCTGCTCAACAGAAATGACTGTGATTGATCTTGAAGATCATCAGTTCACCGCACTTCACCACTGTTCACCGAATGCAAACACAGATACAGGGACAATGGAGCATTTTAAAGCCGTGAAGATCAGCTGGTCTGTCTATGAGCTGACATACGAGTGATCCGCTGATGAATTGACTGATCTTCATGGCTTTAAAATGCTCCAGTGTCTGTGTATCTATGTTTTCACTCGGTTAACAGCGGTGAATTGCTGTAAACTGATGACCTTCACGACCAATCACAGTGATTTCTGTTGAGCAGTGCTCGACTGTTAGCAGGAAATGGATGTTTTTAAAATTTTAATACCGATTGGTACAGAAATTCCAGTATCGTGACAACACTAGTTCAATATACAGTACATGGCCGGGCTGCTATAGCCAAACCTTTGGTCAGTTGTGCCTATGCCAAATGTCGGTTTCAATAGTGCCAGCAGAAAAAAAAAAATTGGCTTGTGGACAATGTGAAACATGTGTTGTTCTTTGAAGAGTCCACCTTACGGTGAAGTCCAGAGTTACGGTGTGGAGAAGCCCCAAAGAAGCATACCACCCAGACTGTTGCATGCCCAGAGTGAAGCATGGGGGTGGATCAGTGATGGTTTGGGCTGCAGTATCATGGCATTCCCTAGGCCCAACACTTGTGCTCAATAGACGCAGATAATATTATAATTGGAATGCAACATACATTTTCATTTGGTCCTGTTTAGATATGCTGAAATAACAACATGCATTAGAATGTTCATCAGCCAATCAGAATCACTGCCAAGGACTCAAACATTCATCAAACATTGTATTCTGAAGGCGGTGCCATGTATCAGGATGTATTTCATATGAAAACAGAATATATACAAATGAAAAAGTCAGATTGGTAATAAGTAAAACTACACTATAGAGCAGTGGTCACCAAACTTGTTCCTGGAGGGCCGGTGTCCAGCAGATTCTAGCTCCAACCCTAATCAAACACACCTGAACAAGCTAATTAAGGTCTTACTAGGTATACTTGAAACACCCAGGCAGGTGTGTTGAGACATGCTGGAGCTAAACCCTGCAGGGACACCGGCCCTCCAGGAACCAGATTGGTGACCCCTGCTATAGAGCTAAGAAGCTCTAAAAAGCCAAAGTGCAAAAAAGTGTTACTGATTTTGGGGGTCACCAAATCAGAGACATCACTAACTTGGCAATTAAAGAGTCAAAATCCTGGATTAAAAAATAATAAATTGTAGTTTTGATCAGGACTGACGCCTGTTTCACACCGCAAGCGTGAGCAGCGCATATGTGGAGCACATCAGCAGCTGTTGCACAGATCAATCTATCTCTGTCTATTCTATCTAGTTACCGATCTATCGATCAATCCTTTTTTTTTTTATTTATATATATTTTTTTACTTTTCATCTGCACCAAGACCCGCAACAACTTCCTTCAATGCTGTTTCCTTAACCTGCAAGTCTTTATTTTACAAATGATAAAGATCCTAAAGAAATGTATGCTTCTCAAGCTCTACGAGGAGTGTCATTAAAGGTGCAGTAGGTGATTTGCCACAATGCTAGCCTGTTAGCATAAATCTCTGAAACACCGTCCCTCCCCTGCCGTCCGAAGCCACGCCTCCTGAAAACACAAGCGCACGTACCCTAAAGATGACAGCAGAATCCTCTCTCGTGTGTTGAGCTAAAGCATGGCCGGCATCGAGCACTCATTTCTAAGCCATACTTGCATGCAATTTCTGACCGAATATTCAGAGTAGCGGTAAACACCATAGGGTGCGCGTCACAGGTTGTCATTGATCAAAAATGAACCAATATGAATAGAAAACCATCTTAAGCTCAGTATAGCAGGCAGCTAGCTCTCTGCAACTCTCACATGGTCGCCCACTGAAGCTAAGCAGGGCTGCGCCCGGTCAGTACCTGGATGGGAGACCACATGGGAAAGCTGGGCTGCTGCCGGAAGTGGTGTTAGTGAGGCCAGCAGGGGGCGCCCAACCTGCGGTCTGTGTGGGTCCTAATGCCCCAGTATAGTGACGGGGACGCTATACTGCTCAGTGAGCACCGCCTTTCGGATGAGTTGTTAAACCGAGGTCCCGACTCTCTGTGGTCGTTATAAATCCCAGGATGTCCATCAAAAAGAGTAGGGGTTTAACCCTGGCATCCTGGCCAAATCTGCCCACTGGCCTCTGTCCATCATGGCCTCTCAACCATCCCCATATTCCAATTGGCTTCATCACTGTCTCCTCTCCACCAATCAGCTGGTGTGTGGTGTGCGGTCTGGCGCAAAATGGTGGATGCTGCACACTGGTGGTAGATAAGGAGACCAAAATTAGCCACCAGGTCTAGTGCCCCCCTATGGATTTAAAATGCCCCCTCAGTTCTGATATCCTGGCGCCGGGCCTGTCGATGCTGTAAAAGGACAATCTTTCACCAGAAGATTTCAGTGGCTGAACAACACTTCTGTGCATATAACCCATTCATAACAACCCAATCTACATCAGCTCTGCGTGACAAAAATAGTTTTAAAACAGAGCATTACCTGTCTAACAGAAATACTTCAGCCATGGTGTCGTCTAAAGTAACTTCAATGTTAATTCAGGATTTAAAAAAAGTTTCTATTCAGCATGTTTTTACCGCTCTCTCTTACTCTCTATCACTCTCGTGAGCGCGCAGCACGTGTTTGCACTAACGGCAGAGCTGCGTACAAACAGGTGCGCATTAGCTCAAATTTGCATTTGCTGACAGACAGTTTGAGCTACGTATCAGAATTATGGGAGATGTCGGCCCGACATTTTAATTGGACATGGATTTAAATTTAGCGAGGCAGTAGGTAGTGCTGTCGCTTCACAGCAAGAAGGTCGCTGGGTCGCTGGTTCGAACCTCGGCTCAGTTGGCGTTTCTGTGTGGAGTTTGCATGTTCTCCCTGCCTTCGCGTGGGTTTCCCCCGGGTGCTCCGGTTTCCCCCACAGTCCAAAGACATGCGGTACAGGTAAATTGGGTTAGCTAAATTGTCCGTAGTGTATGAGTGTGTGTGTGTGGATGTTTCCCAGAGATGGGTTGCTGCTGGAAGGGCATCCGCTGCGTTAAAAAAACTTGCTGGATAAGTTGGCGGTTCATTCCGCTGTGGCGACCCCGGATTAATAAAGGGACTAAGCCGACAAGAAAATGAATGAATGGATTTAAATTTGTTTTGTAGTTCGGGCCTAAATAAATATTTGTTGCTGTTTTTAATCGTTTAAGTTCATTTGTTTGACTATATGTGAATCAGTGGATATTATCACTGCATTTATTGGGTAAAACTGCTACTTTTTACTGTCATTCAATGCGTTTTTGGCCATTATCACTGCACTGTCCCTTTAATTGAGCATGAGCAACACGGCAAAAATAGTCCCAGCTCCGAAACTATCGCAACACTGCTGCTTCAACGACATTCCCGCCTCTCGCTGACGCACTGCTTCTACGTGCGGTATGAAAGCTCTAATATGTTAACATGGACGCCAAAAAACACGCACTACTCACGCTCTGCGCGCGCATTGCTCGCACTTGCGCTGTAAAACAGGCTTGAAAAAAATCTGATACATTTTTACAGCAGTATAATTTAATCAATGTTTTCATCCCCAAAATAACCACAGCCATATCACTCTGCAGCCCAAGACCAGTTACTCCCTGAAGCTAAGCAGGGCTGAGCCTGGTCAGTACCTGTATGGGAGACCACATGAGAAAACTAGGTTGCTGTTGGAAGTGATGTTAGTGAAGCCAGCAGGGGTCGCTCAACCGGTGTAAGTGAATTAAAGGGGACATTATACTATCAGTGAGCACCATCTTAGGGATGAGATGTTAAACTGAGGTCCTGACTTTATGAGAAGTGCCCCATCACCCACACCCCTCTCATGATTGTGAAGCACTTTGGGTGTTTGATCATACATGATGAATGCGCTTTATAAATGCACATTGCATTACGTAATGAAAGGTCAATACATTTGAACAATTCATAGGTTTTAATAAGTGGGATAATACTGGAGTTTCTGTGAGTCTACTGAGCATTATACATCATACTTCGCTTTCACAAGTTCAGAGTAAATCTGGTTTTCCTCATTAGGACCCTGTAAATCAGACGTGCAGCATGTGAGTGAATGATCTCTCTGGTCTGACGTTAATCCTCTTGTCCAGCTCATGTAGTAATAATATTCTCCTGTGTTTCTGCTGCTACTCAACTAAAGCCTCCAAACATGAGCTGCTGTTGTGTAAGATGAGAAGGGCTTGATTTTACACTACAAACAACACGCTGCGTGTTTGATTCTGCTTGGTTGTGTTGATTTTATGCTTTCATTGTTTAAGAGAGGGCTTTAATCTTACACTATTCTGATTGTTCTTTTAGTATTACAACGTACACTCATCGGCCACTTTATTAGGTACACCTCACTAGCACCGGCTTGGACCTCCTTCTGCCTTCAGAACTGCCTTAATCCTTCCTGGCATATATTCAACAAGATACTGGAAATATTCCTCAGATATTTTGGTCCATATTGACCTGATAGCATCACGCAGTTGCTATAGATTTGTCGGCCGAACATTACACCACCACCACCACCACCATCAGCCTGAATCATTAATTCAAGGCAGGATGGAGCCATGCTTTCATATTGTTGATGTCAAATTCTGACCATACTTGCATGCAATTTCTGACCGATTATTTAGAGTAGCGGTAAACACCATAGGGAGCACGTCACAGGTTGTCATTGTTCAAAAATGAACCAATATTAATATAAAACCATCTTAAGCTCAGTAAAGTAAGCTTGGTGGAATAGCGCTGTTTACTGATGTCTCAAGGTATACATGTTGTGTGTTCAGAGATGCTCTTCTGCAGTCCTCTGTTGTAACGAGTGCTTATTTGAGTTACTGTTGCTTTTCTATCAGCTGGAACTGGTCTGCCCATTTTCCTCTGACCTCTGGCATCAACAAGGCATTTGCACCCACACAGTGACAGAACTGCCGCTCACTGGATATTTTCTCTTTTTCTGACCTTTCTCTGTAAACCCTAGAGATGGTTTAGCATGAAAAGCCCAGTATATCAGAAGTTTCTGAAATAGACCAGCCAGTCTGGCACCAACAACCATGCCATGTTCAGAGTCACTTAAATCCCCTTTCTTTTCCATTCTGATGCTCGGTTTGAACTGCAGCAGATCTTCTTGACCATGTCTGCATGTCTAAATGCATTGAGTTGCTCTCATATGATTGGCTGATAAGGATTTTTTATTTAACGAGCAGTTGGACAGGTGTACCTAATAAAGTGGCCGATGAGCTATTCACAATGATTATCTGCACTTCAGTTGCATTTGCTTTTTCTCTATTGGGATCATTTTTTTTTTCTCTCTTCAGATTTTTTTGAAGTGCTCTTTTGTCTGTATCATAAAGATTATTTGTAAGTGACTTGACATTTTTTTGCTGATTAAAATAATCACAACACCCTCAATGAGGTTTATGAGTTGGCTATTAACTAATGATGCCTGTAAACACTGATTTAAATTGTAAAAAAAAAAACTGTAAAGCATGATTATTGCAGTTAAATAATAACAAAAATGAACAATATTGAAACATTTTTGCAACTTAAATTTTTATTAAATCTAAAATAAAATATAAAATGAACAAAAAATGTATAAATTCAAAAATAGATAAATGTAAACTTATGCAAACCGATGTTTGAAAAATAATAACCTCATACAAAAAAACAAGTAAAATATTTGAGTTTAGTTAGAGAGAGTTTACAATGTAATCTATACTGTGGCTTTAATAATAAGTTGACTTTTTGGCAGGGAAATTAGATCAAAATAACTTTAAAATGTGTAATAAGTACATCTTTATGTAATAATATTTAATACATGTAATGCATATAATACTCAGTGCATATAATTGTCAAATAATAATGTCCAATAGGTGGAGCTGTTGATTCATGACAGTAAAATCCTGTCCAATTGCAAGGGAAAGTTGATGAAAGACTAAACAGATGCAGGTCTCATTATTTTCTAACAAATAAACCTTTTGAAACCCTTTGTGTTCGTCTCTGTAGGTGATTCTGGGAGAGTATCGCTGGATGTCATATGAGCAGGTTTTTAAAGAAGTGAATGCTTTTGGAAGCGGTTTGGCTGCTCTTGGACAGAAACCAATGAAAAACATTGCCATCTTCTGCGAGACGAGAGCTGAGTGGATCATAGCAGCGCAGGCCTGCTTCATGTACAACTTCCCACGTGAGTCACACACTTGTACACACTTTATAACACCCTAGGCTCCTATTTGGCGTTCTTAAAGGGATAGTTCACTCAAAATGAAAATTCATTCATTCATTTATTTTTCTTTGGCTTAGTCTCTTTATTCATCAGCGGTCTCCACAGTGGAATGAACTGCCAACTTAACCAGTGTATGTTTTACACAGCGGATGCCCTTCCAGCTGCAACCCAGTACTGGGAAACATCCATACACACTCATTCACACTCATACACTACGGCCTATTTAGTTTATTCAATTCACCTTTAGCACCATCGTGTCGCCTAATAAAAATTCACTCATGCTCAATTTTATGAGTTTCTTTTTTCTGTTGAACACAAATGAAAATATTCTAAGGAAAGCTGAAATCCTGAAACCACTGTAAAAAATAAATAGATTTTTATAGGAAGGTTTCCAGCATTATTCAAAATATCTTCTTTATTGTTTTATACAAGGAAGAAAAGGTTTGAAACAAGTGAAGGATGATTTTTTGGATGAACTATCCCTTTAAATTGCTGTGTGGTTTCTTGAAAGACTCAGTACGTGGATTGCAAACATATAGATACATTCTTAAAGCAACAGTGCATCCAAAATATACATTTATTAACATTCATGTCATCCCGAAACTTTTTTTGATGGAATACATTTTGATAAATGTTGCTAACCAAGCAACTTTGGTTTCCATTAACATCCGTCATATGAACAAAAATACAATGTAGTGTGCAGGGTTCATACAGGTGCCTGAAATCCTTGAAAATGCTTGAATTTTAAGCTAACGTTTTCAAGGAATGTAATTATTTTGCTTTCATAATATTTTATCTCACTAAACAGGTAATAATTAGTGGTGTAACAGATCAGAAATCTCACCGTTTGGATCACGGGTTTTTTTTTGGTCACGGATCAGACCTCTTTTGGATCAGCCAAATAGAAGGAGACGAATGTCATTTGCTTTCTACTTATTACAGAAACAGCACAGCAAGACACTTTTGGTTTTAACAAACAAAACTTAGAAGCTGTAATTTTATTTAAAATACATTCATTCCATTCATTTTCTTGTCGGCTTAGTCCCTTTATTAATCTGGGGTCGCCACAGCAGAATGAACCGCCAACTTATCCAGCAAGTTTTTACGCAGCGGATGCCCTTCCAACCGCAACCCATCTCTGGGAAACATCCACACATACACACTCATACACTACGGACAATTTAGCCTACCCAATTCACCTGTACCGCATGTCTTTGGACTGTGGGGGAAACCAGAGCACCCGGAGGAAACCCACGCGAACACAGGGAAAACATGCAAACTCCACACAGAAACACCAACTGAGCCGGGGATCAAACCAGCGACCCAGCGACGTTCTTGTTGTGAGGCGAATGTGCTTCCCACTGCGCCACTGCATCGCCCTATTTAAAATACAATGAAGAAATAATCAGCTGAATAAAAATAAATTTTAAATTATTCAGTATTGTGAAAAATTCACTGTTACTACTACGGTTGCTGATAATGCTAAATGCTAACATTTATAATTTGTACAACCCATATTTATTTTTAGTCTCATTATTAATAAATGATTCTGTTGTTCACTCTTAAATTTTCATGTTTCATTGCCAGATGTGTCATCTTTGAAGAATTATTAGTGGCATATTTCTGATGGCTAAATATTTTTATCTAAATGACAAACTGTTCTCTCAATATTTCTGTGTTATTTGACTGTTTGTAACTTCATAACGAACTCAAAACTCTAAAAACTGAATCTCTTTCTTGATTTCTTTCGTTTTTAAGCACAAGTTTGAATGCAGCGATTCGAAGGATTAGTAAATGCATGCAAATCACCATCATTTATAATTTGTTGCGTGTGTGGTTCAACCAAATCCAGCTAAAACCAGCCTGACCAGCCTGGTTTAAGCTGGATATAGCTGGTTTTGGCTGGGCTCCCAGCTTGGCTAGGCTGGTCAAGCTGGTTTTAGCTGGTCATCTCCCAGCCTGACCAGCTAAGACCAGGCTGGAAATGGCTGGAAACCATCCTGGAAGTGGCCAAAACCCCTCTAAAACCAGCCTGGTCGACCAGCTAAAATCAGCCAACCAGCCTAGGCTGGTTTAAGCTGGATTTTTCAGCAGGGATGCTAGAACCCGCCTTTAAGCATGCTCGACATCGTAAATTGTATGGCAAGTGTAAACGCATAAATTGGATATGTGTCACACTTAAAACACCGTGTAAACAGACAGGCAAATAAATCAGATATAGGCAACAAATCGGAATTGGGTATCAAGACCTGACAGTGTAAACGGGGCCTTAGACTTTGGATAAGGTGTTAGAACTCTGAATGGAAATCATTAAGAGCTAAAAACATTTGGTTACTAGGGGTGTCACGGTTTCGATTTTTAATCGAAATCGATCAAAATTTATGCTCAATTTCGATTATCGAATCAAAAAATAGAATCGTCGATGCTGCCACGCCCCCATGTCAGCTTGGCTTGCCAAGCGGTAAAAAAACAGGCTTGTTGAAGTGCTTGTTAAACTGCAGAAGCAGGAGACCCGTCGAGAGAACTTAAACCCTCTCCTCTTTCAATGAAGTCGTCGGTGTGTAAGCATTTTGGATTTCCAGTGAGTTATGTTGACAACGTTCGTGTTGTCGACAAAAAAAACACAGTTTTGCAAGCTCTGCTATGTACGTATTACGTACAGTTCGTCCGATAGACAACACCGGCATCGCGATCCTCCGCCCGCCCCTGTTGCAAATCCGCTCGCGAAAAGTTCACACTCAGGCCCTGTTTACACTGTCTTTGTTTTTAAATGGCATTTTAGAACGACAACGATTTGACATCCACAGTGGCGTGTGGCATTTCTGAGCTGCCCTCCTTCCTCTCTACCTCTGAAAATGCACATCACGTGACCACACAGACACAGACGCACATACAGCCTTGCGCTCGAGACAGCAGGTCCAGGCAGTCAGAGGACTGCTTCAATCTTTCACTCACTTGTACTTTGTCATTTTAGCGCACACCTCAGATACTGTTGGCTGGTTCCTGTTGGTTGTGCGTCTTTTTTACCGACGCCATTATAACGACACAGATCACTGCCTATTCACGAGTCCCACAGAAAAAGTGATTGACAGGTGGTAATTATGTGTGTATCTTGCCTTTATTCATTTACTGTATGATTTGTTTATGGGTAAAACAAAGACCATGCAGGTCAGGGAGTTTAAACGGTAGGCTACGAATAATTAATTGGTCATTAATTAATTAATTAATTATTCATAATCGAAAATCGAATCGTGCCTTCAGAATCGAAAATGTAATCGAATAGAGGATTTGGAGGATCGTCACACCCTTATTGGTTACTGATGATCTTTAAAATACCAGAATCTGAATATTCAGAATTATTATTTTTGTATGGACTGTCTCTTTAATATCTCTAAAAACATCAAAGCATAAAACATATTATAGTTCTAGCAACAACAACAAAACCCTAGCATTGTTACACTCTTTTTTTTTTTTTTGATGGAAACATGCAGCTTGTCGTATTTTGGTTCAGTGATACCAGATTTTCAGACCTGAAACTGCAGACTGCAATCTGTTGTTATGGAACGCTCTGGAAAATCTCTTACTGCTCACACTTATGCAAATCTCCAGCCAGATTTGTTCCATATTTATGTGTTTATGACACACATGTGGCTAATACAGAGGATTGTGTGTGTGTATGTGTTTGGTATGGAGGTCAGATTGTACTCATTGCACTGCTGTTATATAAACGTGTCATCCTCTTCCCCACCTCCTCCTCTTCCTTTTCTTTCTCATTGCTTGTCTTCATCTTTCTTTTCCCCCTCATCCTCTTTAATGTGTCTGTTGGCGACGTGATGTTTTCGCAGATCTGGGGTCTCCATGGCATAAACACGCACATATGCATACATTTGCTTGAGTGAATCTCATTGAACCTATTAGTTATATGTCCAATTCATTCCAAAACCAAAGGAAAAAATCATGGTGCATATCAATCATCTCCAAAAGTCGTGGATCAGTGGGTCGTGTACATGTATTTACTTGTTGGGACAGTAAATGTAATGTGAGAACATCAAAACTGTAATTTATAAACGACAGCAGAACTAATCTTCAAGTTTTTAAAAGTAAATTATAGATAAATAGTTTGATTGTTTGATATACCAGCAATAGTTCAACCATTAAATAATTAAAAACGTTTGCTAGATTGTTCTAGCTATAGTCGTTCTTGTCAAAGGGGACCTATTATTCTCCTTTTAAACAAGATGTAAAATAAGTCCCTAGTCCCTAGATGTAAAATATGTCCCTAGAGAGTGTGTATGTGAAGTTTCGGCTCAAAATATCACACAAACAATGATTTATAACTCTCTGAAACTGCCCCTTTTTAGGATTTGATCCTAATTGTGACAACTTTGTCACTGTCGCTGTTGTTTGCGATGAAATTCAAATGAGACTGTGCTCTTTTTCAATAGAGGGCGGAGCTATAAATGCCTGTGTGTCAGCAAAGTGGCAGATTCAGAAATGAGACTTCTGTCCTATGCTAAAAAGAGAGAGGTGGTCACTAGTGGGCGGGGCTTTTTCTCTTTGATGACACGTACAAAGGGAAAATGTCAATCAAAGTGTTGCTGCAGATTGTTTTTATTAAGTGTGACTATTAAAAAAAAAAAAAAAAAAAATATATATATATATATATATATATATATATATATATATATATACACACACACACACACACACACACACACACGCATACCCACCTAACAAACCAATGAGGACACATGACTCAACACCCTACCTTTGAGGACTACCCTTTCTGAAGGGTCTAGAGACAAAAGAAAGACATGACTGCACTACTAAAAATGTGCTTATTATGAATATCAGTTGATATTTGCAAAAAAATACTTCTATAAAGACCTGACAAATTACCTTCAAAATGAGGACAGTATTTTATAACTCACCTTTGGGGACATGTACACAAACTCCGGTAT